TGCAGGTGTTTTGAGTTGATTAGCTGATTGGCATGTCACCATATTCTAATTTGTTGAGATAGTGAATTGGTGGGTTTTTGTTAAATGTGAGCCAAAATCATCACAATTAAAAGAACCAAAGACTTAAACTACTTCAGTCTGTGTGCATTGAATTTATTTAATACACGAGTTTCACAATTTGAGTTGAATTACTGAAATAAATGAACTTTTCCACGACATTCTAATTTATTGAGATGCACCTGTACTTTTGACAGCAAAGTGCTTTTAATGTGTAGTCGGACTAAATGAGGATACATTTGATAAAGCCTTATACTTCCTGTCATGCTTTGTTCACTGAAATGTTTTAATACACAGTGCACTCTAAACAGTGCTGAAATGAATAACATGATTATTGAATTTACACTAATAAACAAAGTCTGAACCACCGTCTACAATTTGAATCCTGGCTCTCTCCCTGTAATTAGGCTGTTCACGTTAACCAGAAAATGTCTTTTTCATTGAAAAGGAGCAGCAAATAGAAAAGTTTTTCCTTTGTGCAAGCAGATGTATAATTTCATGCTTCAAAGCCATTTTATAACTATAGAGATTTGACTAGAATGCGAAATGGATTCAGGTAAAAAGATGTTTTCTGACGTCAAAACCTGCAGAGGGTTTGGTGTGATTGACAAGTTGCAGCACGTTTAACATGTTGAACAATAAGTGAGTTCATGTGCAGTTATGAGTATTATAATGATTTCTGCAGTAGAAGCAGAGGATTGTGGATTGTGATTGAAGTTAGCCTGTGGGTTTCTGGCCTCTTATGACATCATGCACATATCTCTCTCCTGCATTTTGGACAGCCTGCACTTTATCTGATAAATGATGTATAAAGCCTGCATAGTTTGTATGGACTGAGTGCACTGGAACAGAAACACATAACAGGACACTTTGAACAGCTTACTGTGAATATCTGATTCCATTTGGTCTCTAAAAATACATTTAGTTTCTCAACCTTTGGCTGAACAATACAAATATCTCCACACAGTTATAACTGGCTTCATGAAATATCTCCTGCAGTAAGGTTGATGCATTTATGCATGTTTATGGGGCATACAATTTTTTTTCTTTTTATCCCATTCATACATATATGCATGGTGGTCTTTCTCATACCAGAACAATTTTTTACCATCATTCTGGTATGTTGTCTTGCTTCGATGCTTGCAACATATTTTTCAAACCAATACAGGATCCTACCTGTATGTGGTCTGAAATAATATGTTGCAAGATGTAGTTGTAGATATTTATTATTACAAGAACAAATGTGAACGGCATACATTTAAAAGTTTGACTTTCTGATGGACAGTGTTGTCTTTTTTTATTTTTTTTGTTTTGTTGAAGTGCCATATTTTATGTATGCTACCTGTTTGGAATGTTACAAATCATGTCTATATTATGTAGTTAAAGACTATTTTAGAAACCATCGGTAATTTATATAATTACAATAATTTATGATAGGCCATAGTCTGGTTTTGTAAGGTTAAATGCTTATAGAATAAAAAAAGAGTAAATATCAAGGTCAAAAAATTGTCGAGGTCCATGAGGAAAAAAAAATAACAACAGGAAAATACCATGTTAAAAAATTCAGTAAAACAGTAATATTGTCAAATATTATTACAATTTAAAATAACTGTTTTCTATTTTAAAATGTAATTTATTCCTGTGATTTTGTGCTTTTTTTGTGGAAACCATGATACATTTTTGAATTCTTTTTTTTTTTCACTTTTTAATGAACAGAAAGTTCAAAATACCAGAATTTATTTGAAACAGAAATCTTTTGTAACATTTTAAATGTCTTTACTGACACTTTTGACCAATTTAATGTGTCCTTGCTGAATGAAAGCATTAAACAAAACACCTCACAGACCCCAATGAGTAATGAAGAGTTATTTAGCGAGAACGCCATAATGGAAAGGTGCTATTTAGGTCGAAGCAGTTCTGCGAAAGACTTTAAATTGATTGTGTGTGTGTGTGTGTGTGTGTGTGTGTGTTGTCAGCGCTGTGACTATTCACCTCTGATGCATCACACGGCTTTGATGTCTCAGAGGCACTTATACGTGTATCCCCAGGGGCCACACAAACACACACGTCTCTCCACAGGGATTTGAGTGTCTGACAGACCCCCCTATGGCTCCGACTCGTCATCACACTTGTCCTGAAATAAAGTTGCCCTCTCAGAAACAAGCCCGTTCAGTCTTCACACACCTCACGGCTCTGTAATCTTGACAGCTTCTCTCATTCTCCTTTGAATGTTTTTGTTGTGTTGTAGGGAGGAAGCTCTTTGATGTTTGATGACCCCCCCACCCCCTCATCATCCTTTACAATTTAAGCATCACTGCACCACACTCACAAATTTGAGCTATAATGCAGTAAAAGTTCAAACTTTGGTCTAGGACAAACTTGAATTGAACAATTGCAGCATTTGTGTGCAGTGAAGAATTTTGTGAAGTTGTGATGCATGAAGCATAATAATAAGGATGTTTTTTGTTGTTGTTAAACAGTTTTAATGGACTGTTTTGAAATGAGTATATATGAATATAATTATTAATTTAATTTAATTTTAGAATTTATGCATTTAGCAGACGCTTTTATCCAAAGCGACTTACAGTGCATTCAGGCTATAAATTAAGTACATTTATAAAATAATATTTGAATAAATATTTTTAAATAAAAACAATATTTTATAAACATAGAAAGCAAATACAGTATTTATTCACACCTAGTAAGAGTGTAAATAAATAAATTATTCTTTAAAGGGGTCATATGATGCATTTTCAATTTTTCCTTTCTCTTTGGAGTGTTACAAGCTCTTGGTGCATAAAGAAGATCTGTAAAGTTGCAAAGACTAAAGAAATCGCCAGCCGCGCCGTTCTCAAGCCCGTGCCTCTACTCACTCTAACCCTCCCGCCGTTCCTCACGCTAGCCCCCGGCCTCTGCTCACTGTAGGCCGCGGTGTGTGACGCTGTTTCGTTGTGAAAGCGAAACTACTTTGTTTGACCTTCCAAAAATGGACACGACTAGAAATCGCAAATTTTGATTAACTTTGACAATTAATTAATCTTTGTCTTCTACTGACAATCTTTTGTAATCTGTTTTTTTATAATAATAAAAAAACATATCTAAGATATATGTATAAATATAAATGCATTTTAATATAATACAATAAACATATAAATACATGCATACTGTACATAATATTCAAACAAATTTTTAAATAAATAATTATAAATATTAAATATAAATAAATTTCCTAATATAGATAAATAAAAAAATATATGTATATATAAATAAATTTATTATGAATTTATATAATAAATATGTTACTTATTCACACATAATAAGGGTGTAAAAACTTTTTGATTTGTGGTTTTATGTCATTTTTGCTGTTAATTTATATGGTGATTTTTCTTTTAAATTAGATACATGTATTTATATAAATAAACAAATATAATTACAGTTGATACCAATAAATACATTTATGAAGTAAATGATATTTAAATATTTGTAAAATAAATAAATAAATAAATAATAATTTACAATTTTACATTTAAAATTAAATTTAAATATAAATAGTACATGTATTGTTTATTTATCAGGTAAATCAATAAATTAGGTCAATAAAGTGTTATGTTATTTTTGCTATGGCTTCTGTTGGTTTAAAAAAAATTATAATAATAATAAAATGAATTCATGTGAGATTATTTTGTGAACAGGACTGTGACATGCTGGCTGGAGAGAAGACGGCATGGACGTCCTTAAGAGACGCCATCCCGCACCTGGAGCAGCTTCAGTCGGAGCAGCGTATCCTTCACAGCCGAATCAGGGGCGAGAACTGACTGTATCTCAGGGTTTAGCAGGGTGATGTGAACTAGCCTGTAGCAGTTTTGCTCTGGAAACAACTGCTAGTCTCTGCAAACTATGCCCGATACTGTAGTCAGACACTGCAGTGAAAGGTGTGAGGACAAAGCTGTCAGTTCTGTCTAGCTCGCTTGCTTTTACCCCTTTGGACACGTGTCTGATGTATGAAAGAAAAAGCAGGCTGTCTTCCCCATGAAATAATAAACATAGATTGTGATTTTTTTGTGCCAGTGTCTCCACCAGGCTTTGTAACTAGCTTAGCAAGACTTCCTTGATCTTAGCTACTGTAGTTTTCATAATACATTTCAGCTTGTTTTTATATGTATCCTTAACTGTTTAATCAAAAGGCTGGGAGGAGCTGCTGAAAGAGGGCAAGGCTTTTTTGCACAGATACGCAGATGTCGTCCCGGACAGGAACATCTATGTGCTCAGGCTGCTGGATCTGGCCATGGATGCTTGCATTAGTCTGGACGACTATGAGACGGCGCTGGAGTACGGCAACAGAGCTCTGGAATCTTACAAGTGAGTGTCTGCAACAAAAAGTTGCTTTCTGTTTCTTTACTGACAGATTTTCCTGGTAAAGCCCCATGGAATACACCTCCATCACATCCTCAAATCTATAAAAGTCCCATTATGACTGTGACTCACATAGACTCGCTCACGTCTGAAGACCAAAAACAGACAAGTGCAGATTTAGTTCTCAGAAACGCTAGACAGTATCGAAGAATAGATCCCCATTATAGTATTTATCTCGAATAATAGATTTATTCATTGGCATTAGGGTAGTTTTTAAGAAAGCTTTCTGTGATTCAATCTCATTTCTTTTTCATCTATACTTATAGTTGCTTGTAATGGTGAAAAAATGACTTAGTCACAAACTGTCTTTAAATTCTGAGGTATCCTTAACAAAATGGTAACCGTAGTTTTAGCCAAAGTGATGTGGTTGCTACACTTAGTGGTGTTTACTAAAACTATGCTACCTTTCAAATGTTTGATGTCAGTAATATTTTAAATAAATTGATACTTCTGTTTAGCAAGGATGCATTAAATTGTTAAAAAATGACAATCTAGACAATAAAACGTATAATTTTGCAGAATGATTCTATTTCAAATAACTGTTGTTCTTCAAAATTTCAGGCAATTAAAAAAAATTATGAAAAATAAAACCTTTATTTACTTTATTTTAATAACTTTTATTAACTTTATTTATTATTTGTTTTTTTTTTATTATTTATTTATTCCAAATCAGCGTATTATAATTATTTCAAAATGATCGTGTGACACTGAAGGAGCAATGACTGCTGAAAATGCTTTGCAGTTAGAGAAAATAAATAAAGTGTAAAATATATTTCAAATAGATAACAGCTATATTTACCATATATTTGGCCATTTTTATTCTATTTTTGAATAAATAAATGCAGCCTTGATGAACATACAGTAACACTCTCTTTCCCAATAAAATAAAATAATTTTACTAACCCCGGACATTTTAGCAGTATAGTATTGGATGCCTAACTGATCAAATATATGATTTTTACTTGTTGGATAATAAAACGGGCAAAAAATCTTAAACTTAATAGAATCATGGTGGCAAGATTTGGCAAATACCACTCACATTACATTATGTTCAGAAAATGTCAAAATCTACTTGTTACTATTGTAAAATCATTAAAAATTTTAACGTTATCTTCTTTAAATAGTGTAAGTAGCTGGCAGTATGTTTTTGTTATACTAGTTTTGGCACCACAGTTTCAATGTTTTAACAAACTATGTTTTGGAGGAAACCATGGTTGTTTTTGTATGGGATTCTAACTGGTTTATTTATTAGATGTTGAGTTATTGAGAAAAGCGTTATACATTAAAATCTCAGGACATTTACCATGATTGTACATCCTGCTTATGCAGTATGTTGCCTATCCTAATACCAGGGGTCTTAACCTTTACCAAAAAAAAAAAAAGCTTGTTCAGCTGTGTTTAAATGGGACAAATGGATCAATTTAGGAAAGGGCAGACTTCAGGTGAAATCTACCACAGGACGGTATTCATCACCAACTACTACTGAATCAATGTGCACAACACCAATCTTAGCATTGTGCACCGTAGCCACTATATGACTTCCCATGAGACGTGTAGAACAGAGCAGCGTTTGTGAGTGCATTCCTGTCTGGAGGAGGTTTGGGACTCTTCTACTGTGGTGTTTCATTTGTGGTTGTTGGAAAAAGCTGTTTGGAAATGTCTCTTTCCCATAGTGCTGAGAATAATAGATACCTCTAGGCTAAACGCAAAGAGATTATTGACTTCAAGCTCCTGCAGATGTCAGTGTGTAGCGGCGCTAGACCTCCAGTGATTTCCACTAAATCCAAATGTAGACAGTAAAGAAACAGTCGGATCAGAGCTTCGGAGGCATTGGACCTTGGAAAAAAGTGAAATTACCAAACAGCTTTTCCCCTGTCAGATGTGGGGGATATGAATATGGCTGTTATTTTTCTACTGCGCTGGATCCCGTCTTCCCATGTCAGCTAGTGCAAAGCATAAAAAAAGTTTTTATATCGCCTGTTGGATTCTTATTCTCCAGCTTTATACTGCGTCTGATTAATATTTATGGTGCCGAGGGAGTGCCGCCAATGCAAGGAAGAGGAAAAATGCTCCTATAATGGCTTTTTAAATGCCGAATTGACATTGAGATTGATGCTTGCCAGTGTCGCCGCAGTTTCTGCTGTTAGTACAACAAGATAAATGCATGTTATAAAGAAAGATAAATACTTTCAACCGTTTGGTCATTTTCATTGCATATCCTTCAAGCGCTGATAATTGCTGCTTTCACAATGATTTCTTTACTTGTCTTCACCATAGAAAATGTAAGGCTGAAATCTGCTACTCAAAGAGGTTTACGTTTTGAAATACTAGACTAATATAATATAGAAATACCTGGGATATATACAGTACCGTATAAAAGTTTGGAGTTCCCTAGTGGAAAATAAATATACTAAAATGTATTTGAAATACATTTATTTTGTGCTAAGTATACTACATATACATTTACATATTTATGTACTTAATAAAAATAACCTGAAATTGTACTTTTAGTATACTGGTATACATAAACTGCTAAATTGGAATAACTAATTTTGTGCTTTAATTGTGCGGAAGTTGTGCTGAAATCCAACTAAAGATATACTGAAGTATATTTGATTGTGCTAAAGTGGAACTAAAGCAAGTATACTTCAGGTACACTTTACATAGCTTGCAATTAAAGACCAATATTATTCAAAGATCATACAATCCTCATCAGTAGTGACATTTAAACACATTTTAGGATTAATATTAAGAAATGTGCACTGTGCACAAGTAGTACTCCAAATAAAGTTTAATTATCATTTTTATATCAGTAAGTCTCGAGCGATATGTCAGTAAATATGTTAATAGATTTGAACTATGCTTAGTATGAAATAAAAGTATTTTAAATAGGCTATATGGCTTTTTCACTAGGGTTAGTAAGATTTTTTTTCAGCGAGGAAGCATTCAATTGATCAAAAGTGACAGTAAAGACATTTACAATGTTACAAAATATTTCTATTTCAAATAAATGCGGTTATTTTGAACTTTCTATTTTTTAAAGAAAAAATCACATCTCGGTTGTCTCACAAATATTAAGCAGCACAACTGTTGTCTTAAAATATATATATAAATAAATATTTCTTGAGAATCAAATCAGCATATTAGAATGACTATCGAAGGATCATGTGACACTGGAGATTGGAGTAATGATGCTAAAAAAAATCAGCTTTGCATCACAGGAATAAATTACATTTTAAAATGTATTCAAATAGAAAACAGTTATTTTAAATTATAATAATATTTCAGAATATTACTGTTTTTACTGTATTTTTTTGGTCAAATACATGCAGCCTGGCTGAGCATAACTGTCTTCTTTCCAAAACATTTTCCCAAAACAACAATTTTGAACGGTAGTGTACAGTATGTTGCATGCAAATAAATGTCAGTTTTGTCCGATTGCAGCAACTTTTGAATGGCCGTCAATGAAGAAAAAGCTTTTTGCTCTCAGAATGTTTTTTAGCACAGCACATTACAGAAATAATGTCCATACACCCAACCAAAAGTTTACAGCTGTGCCTTGTTTTTTCCCCCGCTTTATTTCATTATCATTGCACATGCCCTCTTTATTCGCTTGAAAATGGAGGTTAAGAGTCATCAGGAGTCATAATATCCATCAAACATTTGGGCAGAGAATCAGTAAAAATCACAACATGGCCATGAAGGCTGTGAAAGCGGTTTTGTTTAAGTGACAGCTCCAGTCATCACGTAACGCCGGGCTTCATGACATTCCATTACAGCTTGATTCAGTATTCGTCATGCGCCTTTGTTCTGCGTTTCAAAATTGTGAAGTTCATTATTGGCCTTGTCTGGGATCCCAAATTATTTCTGGAATTGGCTGGTCCTGTGTTCGCCATGTGAATGCTTTCTGAACAGGCAATTATTAGAAGTGGTCCTGCCCCCGTCCTCTTGTCATTCAGGCTACAAGAGGTTTGGAAAGAGATACTGGCTGACAAAGCAATAATAGATCATTCACATCACAAGAGAGCTTGAACGCCCTTGCAATCACACAGGAAGAAAATTCAATTTGGTTAACTTAAGAAACGTCAACATTTGTTTTCTATCTGTTTGGTGCGATTTGTTTGCAAAGAAACTGGATCCTGTTCTACGTGTTGCATGTTAAATAAGGTCGCTGCCGGCTATTGCAAGATAAATAGACATTTATTTATGCAGCGATTCTATTTGGGGATCAGTCAGGCAGTTTAGTGAGAGCCACTGAATTGTTTTAATTGCTCAAGTGCCTAATATATGCAAAGTGATGAATTAGTGTATGCTGTTTTTAGCCAGTCTTTTCACAATAATTAATTTGATTAGAAAATTAGCATTGCGGATTCTCATTATTTATGTATGACGATGCTTTGCATTTTACTTTGAACTTTTATTCCGTCTTTAAAACCTAGACCTAGGGATATTCAATTATTTGACAACTTCCATAAGGGGTGCTTAGTCTGATCTGTGTTTTGCTTTCACAGGGACCAAAATTAACACTAACTGAGTTTTTAAAAAAGGTAAATTGGCTTTGCAAGTAAAAAATGCTAAAAAAAAAAAAAAAAAAAAAAAAGCATAAATATATAATTGTTATTTTTAAATACTTATATTTAAATATATTTTTGTATACTAATTATTTTTAAATAATTATAAAAGAATGAAATTCCCTTCATGTCTTGTTATAGGTGTAGATAAGAGTTCATTTGCAAAAACCGATAACTCTTACCGATAAAGTTTTTTTTATTGCGCATTCCAAGTATTATCAATCAAACTGCAAGTGGGTTGTTTTGATTAAGTAATAATAACTTAAACAAATACTAAAAGTAACAATTTATATAATTAAATAATTTACAAAATTAAAATTCATTGAAAGTATGTATTTTTAACATATTAAAAGTTTTTTTTTATAGCAAAAGCAA